GATCAAATAAAAATTTGAATAAATTGTATTTGAAATCGTGTTGTTGTTGTTTTTGTCTGTCTGTCCGTCTTATCTCATTTCCGGTTAAATCAAAGTCACTTCCGGTTTAGGAACATTTCACTTCCGGTTTGAGACAAGGTCACCTCCGGTTTGATGACGTCACTTCCGGTCACAAGTACCGCGGGCGCATAGCAACAAGGTCGGAGGTTAGCAACAAGGTCGGATTACCGCACACCGCTGACCAGCAATGATCGACTTGGGTCGTAGCTCCCAACTAACCCCCTTACTACTAATGACATACAATTTTTTGATATGAAATTTTAGGTAATATATTGAAATGAATAAATAAAAGTCTGAAGCTAAAGAAATTGTTTTGTGAAATACGGCCATCGTTTCTACAAGCAAGTGATTGTCTTTCCTTCTAATTAACATACAGTTTTTATAGTCAAGTTGATTTTTTCCTGTAGATATTTGTTTAATTATTACAATGTTCTCGAGCCGTTATTTTGATTTTACACAGAACATCATCCATCATGACTTGAAAAGCATATGGGACCAAATAACGATCTTTAATCATCCAACCGAAGGTACAAAACAACAACGAATGTAATTTTTCCCTATAATTGGACTTTAATAAAATCCAAATCCGACAACTCAAACATTTTTGAACGTGTTATGAAGATCAAAATGAATGCACCGACGGTTTGATATAAKAGGTCATTCTTTATTGACTGCTTCCCAATATCATTTTTGTCCAACTGACTTCAATACATSTACTGTAACATATATACAATGTGTTGTGTATACAATACTGCAACAGATATATAATGCTACAAGTTGGTATTGTTTCCATGCCGGATCAAGAGTTCGCCTCAACATAAAAAAAGATATTAATGAAAACCTCTCGGTGCTTAAAAACCACAAAGGTGAATTATCTAGTGCATGGCTGTCAATTGAAGGGCAGCGTATTATCCTTTCCGAATGTCATTGAGTTAGTTAGTCAAAAGATCATTAATTATTCACGYCGGTAAGTAGGCAAACCAGAATCTCAATTTGTATCGAATTTGTACCAGACCTTACTACAAAGGGTTCACTGTGAAGCATTAAAAAAAATTGTAATTAAAAAGGTACTCCAAGTAGTATCCGCCATTACCCCAATTTGCGATCATTGTGATCTCCAGCCATGATTATCGAGATCTAAGCCCAAGAAGACTAACGAGCTCGTGGTATTTCAGAGAAAATCGATGCTGTCACACTGGATGAATACAATGTTTCCGTGGATCGTTTGTGAGTGAACACAATCTTGTATTCACTCCCGAATAGTTGCGATTTTAAAGCTCTTGAATGCAATTTAAATAGCAGCTATAGCTAGTTTCTCTAACACTGGGGAATAAAACTAATTTACATCTAGATGACAGCTTTCTTACAGAACCAAATTTGTTTTTCTTATACACATGCCACACAGTTTCGATCAAGCGATATATTGCCAGCTGAGACCTGTGATACCTTGTACACTATCTGTAAATCAATGCTAATGCAAATGGTTCTTAGAGCGAAAGAAGAAAATTTTGCTACTATGTGATAAAAGTCTGGAAAWCAAAAAAGTCCATTCAAGCGTTTGACTTTCTTCATCAGGTGTCATGAATTTGTTAAGTAGTTTAATTAATGTAATGTTTCCGTTTCTTACATTYTCAAGCTATACAAAACAATTAGCAAATCTAGCCAAATTATAACGGAATCTCTCTATGWGATATTTTCACGTACAACGTTTGAAAACATGATAGCACACTGTGATATGGGCCGACGTTTCCTTCAATTAATCAAAATTTRATTAGGCGCTAGACGACATCCAATAGAAAAGTTACACATACATTTGTAAGAGACAAAAAAAGGCGGAGTTGTTTGTCCTATGTTACATTTTTTCCCAAAGCGAGATCCAAAATTATTAGGAAAGCCTTATCTTCTTTCTCGTTTTCTCGGATCTGCTATTTAATGCCATGAAGAAAGAAGACTGCTCTCTATGATAGGAGAGTYCCTTTTGATTAAGTAAATGAAGGTAGTCATCTTAATAGAGATTTTGGGAAATGCATTCCTTTGCACGTAACTRATTATTTATAGCCATGGCTTTTGATCATTTTTCTACGAGGATTTGACGATGGGRGTTCTAGAATTGGCTGCTCACTGACAGGTGCAGTTCTGTTGGTATTTATATTGCTAGGGATCATCTTTTAATSCAAGTTGACAAGCAAACCAAGATCAGCGTGAAAAGACTAYGAAAGCKGCAAATGACTRTAACTGTTGAATAATTAGTCAATGGATACAGGTGACTGTCGAACATTTGCATTTATAAAACTACATAGCTCARTCATTTTTTACTTAACAGCTTCAACAGTTATTATTATTATTATTCCTTGTCTTGGTTATCAATATYAAATGAAACAATTCCGTAGGAGGAGCCGACCATGTCTGTTCTTCTAAACAATTGTTTTTATACGACTTTTCTCCTGGGAAAGTGATTGAGGACTAAATTTGGAAAAATAGAAACTCTTCCTTACGGCCGCACTTGTGAGTATTTCAGAGATATTCGGTATTTTCCTTCCGTCAATGGTCGTGAAGAGTTTCCGGGGGAGAATTCCTAGAGCCTATTCCTCTCTGTGATTAAAAAAAAAGATATATCTGAATGTATTGTAACTTTGCTGGCAACCAATTGTGACTTACATATATGGGATGTAAGAACAAATATATTTCTCCCAGGAACCCTTCGGCTCCTCATATAGTTTTTCTCTAGTGATTGAAAAGTAATAATTTCCAGGTATTAGCATATTGGTGTATTGTCACTATCAGCTGATAGTTAGATGGTTTAAAGTTACTTTTTCAAGTCGGACGACATAAATATAATTTGTTTATAATAGTTAAGAACCTCATATTTGAGATCTTACTTACAGTCAACCTGCCCTTTTATATTAAAATATTTGTCATCAGACTTCATTAAGTAAAATTTGTTATCATGAGATCTAAAGTGAACTATTCTTTAGTTTAACAGTAAAAAGAACACAATAAGCAATGTGTTAGCGACGCCATTTTGTGGCGCAAAGCATGATGGTAGTCGWATTCCCGGCACTTTTCATARCCCCGTAAAACATCTCTAAAATAAGCAGAGTTTTACATTTCCTTTATAGAAACGTCACAAGTTCTTCCATTTTCGCTTAGAAATCAAAMACTTGCTAGGAGCWTGATAGTCAAACAGAGAAACAAAAGAAATAAATATATATTTGAAAAATAGCTGCCATCATGCATGCTTTGCTGCACAAAATGGCATCGCTGCTTAAAAACCAAGTACACAAACGGGTACTAAAGCCTTTTTATTCTTGTTTTAAACCAGTTTTCTGGATTTGCTTTATTTTGTACTGTTGGATTTAAGATTATCATTTTTTCTTTGATATTCAATCTGGMATAATATTTGGAATCATATTATTTGTAATTTGTCATTTGGCGTATTTATAGAAAAACGAATAAAAATGCTTTAGTCATTTAGTTCAGTTTGTGTACTTGGCCGGGTTGGTCAAAAATGAATTGATGTCTTTTTATACAGCCAATACATAAGCTAATACTTAACATCGATGCTCGAATATCTGCTTCTCAGACCGTTCGTTATATGACAACTCCAAGTCCAAAAGCTGCCTTAATCTAGCTGTATGCCTTGTTAGGCTAAGTATTGGTTTATGACGCACTTAAAGAAAAARGCTAATGATATTTTTAAAAAGAATTGTTTTCAACATATCTATAAAATACATATTTCTCCATTTTTTAAAGTTGTTATTTTCACTATTGAAAGTAACACCTTTGAGGTTTCTCTGTATAGTAAAAGTACAAAGAAAAAATATAGAGTATTACATGCATGGTAGCTTTGAGATACGGATCTTTGAGTGTTCAAAGGATCTCTCACGAGTGAGTGTAATATCATTTATTTTTGAAAACGTTAATTTTTTCTTCCCTCTAATTTTACGCTTCCAAACAACAATAGTTGTATAAACACAAGTACTTTTCCTCCATGACATACTCCCTATTAATCATGGAAATACCGGCCAGTTATTTTCTTATTTCTTTTATGTTTTTTTTTCTTGTCGTAATGTTAACTATTACATTATAATTGAGATACAGTTTTGATCATTTGCAATTTTATTCCTCGACTTGTTCTTGTTTACATTTAAAGTGATATCACAAAAKAAGATTTTATTATATTACTCTAAATAAATTTAATCATTACCATTACTGCAGGTTTTTCAAATCGGAAACTATTCTATTAGATTTTTCAACGTGTCAGGAACGAAAATTTGATTTCAAGTGGCTAAATAGTCTTGTTTCGATTTTGTTCTTCACAAAATTGATACCTTATCTAGAGTGGCTTTTGAAAAGGCTACCAAATATATTGTCTTTTTATATCCTTTGTTCCATTATCCTTTTGCAAGTATGTTTACGAGTATTATCACTTCGAATTATGATGGCCTCAGCTAATATTTCAGATTTTTGAAAACCTCCGCTTCATGGTAATCAAAATTAATCCAAAATTGAAAAGGGACTAACAAAACATAATATASAGGGCACGTAAGGCAGTTATGAAATAGAGAAAGAATACTAATTGTAGCAAAAAATTTAATTTTTTTACAAAATAGAAAAACTATGAATGATAGTGTAATTTTCATAAACTCGTCAAAAAGTGTAATATGCAGTGAAAACGTCAGTAAACTGTGATACACAGAAAATGCAGAAAAAAACTTGTCAAAYAAAGAATAACGAAATGTGMTTTGGTGCATTGTATTTGCGTGTTAAATAGAATTGTTGTGCAATTATAGTGCTTTTGCTGTAGTTCGAAAATAGAACTTTGCAAATATTACCACTTTTTTGTAATTCCCTGACTGAGACTCTTTAAGTCCTTTAACGGACATATATAGCGGATTTACTCTAAAGRTTGCGTCATCAATATTTGATATGAAAAGGGTCGTTCTTTTATGAGTCAACACCTTTACAAGTGCCTTTCAACAGTACCCRCATCTCAAGCACTTAGACTTTCAACAGTAAGTAGACCAATTTACTTTGCCTATAATAACAATATCTTCTATTTACAATTGTATGCAACGATTGTTTACTGACGAAATAGAGGACATAGTGGGACGCGGAGATGTAGAGGATAATACAAGGTCTTGCACAAGATGCATCTTTTAACATTTAAATAGATTTTGTTTTCCTAAAATACAAATAAGAAGCACTATACAACKTGTTATTTTCCACAAGAAAAACAAAAACACATATTCGATGGAGAGAGAGAGAGAGAGTTGTATAAATTAACTTGAAATTCAAGGAAAATTATTGATAAATACAATGATCATACAAAATTATATATGAAATATCTATAGTTCTCTCTTAGTTTCAAAAATGTTTTTTTCTTTGGTGAATAGGATTTGGCATACTAATTTATATAAATCAAATGAATTTTTTAAGAAAGTTTCAGTAGGTCAACGGTTTGAGACTAAAACTGTTCAGTTTGCTCTCTCAGCAGTATTTTGTGACGAGATTTATGAATTTACWTGTATTTGGCTGTTACTATAATTGATTGTCAGTGAATAGCAGAAAAAAAATAAGCAACACCAATTGCACAGAAGACGGGAGAAATGGCCGTCGCTTTGAGAAACATTTTTTTTTTCGATTTTCGAGTGCAAAAGATATACGGTGTATCAGTGAAAGCAAAAGTTTCTTTTGTGAGTACTTATATGATTGATAACCTTGAATTCACTGTAACCTGTCCTAMTCGTGCCGTGCGGCACATAGGGCCTTAGAGAGAGAGAGGCGCTAAAAATGTGTTATAACCTTTAAGGCTTTTTTAAGGCTTTTTTAATTGTCTGTGGGTCATAAGACAAATAAAAATAATTTTGATTAATTTCCGGAGAGCTATTTATTTTGTTGTTCCAACAAAGAAATCAGGTCCAAACACGAAGTACAGGCCAAAACAACGACCTCAATACTAGCCACCGTTCAACGAGATTTTTATTAAGGACGTTATGACCAAACTTACATTGTTACTGGAACGCCTTTTGAAGGAGTATCAATAAAATGTTGTATATTGTGTTGCATTGTGTAACTTTCACTTTCCCATGAAACATTCCTTATTTCGTCCAAATCCACAACTTGTTGTTGTTCGTTTTGGACTAAAACTGATTTACATGTGATATACTGTTTTCATTATTTATTTTGTACATGTTTCTTTTTAAAGACTTCTAGTATYTTGATACTATTGACGTCACGGTCAATTTGCAAAATTGCGGCTAYACAGTTAATGTTAACGTTTCATACGTGATCAAACACGTGTTTTGACTATTTGATATTGGTAATGTAGGTGGCATGTTACCACAAGACCGGTTACCACAAGACAAGGTCCTTTTTTCTCTGTGAACGCCAGGTGACACACCAACTGGTGACCACTGGTGCTTCTGAATTTGTATTATCGGAGGGAAAAAAAGGGTTTTCCTGTTATTGCCTTGTTGTTGTTGTTGATTATAATGATAATATCAGCGCCGTGGCCAGAGGAAAATGTTAACCGAGGCACTTTAAGTGGTCGTATCTAGGGGGTTCGCGGGCATGCTTCCCCGAAACATTTTAGTGAAGTTTAGACACTCGGAAACGTGATTTCCAGCGTTTTGCCAAGCATATTGGAGAGGTTTAGCATGACTTTCACGGCAAACGGCAGAAAACAGCACGTGACCTGCTTTTTTGGAGTTTAACGTTGCAGTTTCAACGCAAGAGTGGGTTATTTTGGGGTTTTAATCGTGAAAAGCCGCTCTTTCAAATGACTACCAAAAGCACAATGCCGGGCACGAAATTCCTAGGTCATTGGTTCAGCTCTKCCGTTAGCCGTTTGCCGTAAACGTGATGCTTAAACTCTCTATTGTGAATTTTTTATCTTACACCATTGATTGAACTTTTTTATTTTGGATACGAATTAAAGAAAACTCGATAAAATTTATCGAGGTAAGTGCCTCGCTTACCTGATCGTAGCTACGGCGTTGAATATGTACTTGAATGATTGCTGCTGTCATTCTTTACTTAATCAAAGGATTGAATTTTTTCCCTCTGTTCAAGCCTTTTATATGATAAGGAGTAGTTGTATTTGATTAGATGTAGTTGTTGTGATTGTGGTTGCTGTGATAGTGCCTAATTTCGCCCTTCTTTATATATGCAAAGGTCTGAACGTTTGTTGCATCTGTTCAAAAACTTATATCTGATTAGGAGTAGTTATATTTGATTATATGTAATTGTTGCTGTTGTTTTTGTACTGTGATAGTGCCTAATTTCGCCCTTCTTTATATATTGAACGGATTAGTAATTTCTTTCTCTGTTCAAAAACTTTTATTATATTTGATTAGGGTATCGTATAAGTATTAAATCACGTACATTTTTAAATGACCATTAAAAGACCATTAATAATAGTTAAAAGAGAAGATCGAATCACTTTTGTTCCTCAGGAAACCCAGAATGTTGCTTGCCGTTTTCTTACCATTGATTGCCCTTGGTGTAGTACATTCAAGTGAGTATACACTATACAWTATCCTATGGCATTGCTTCGCACGAGTATGAGAGCCAAAGAACCTAGAACACCTAAAGTGTTTATCACACTTGTAACTATTTAACAAACGCGGTCGACTTAGTACAGCTTACTTATTCAAAACCCCTGGTTACGACATAACCCCCAAATAGGTTATATTAGTCCGATTGCATCGGAACTACAGACGTTTCGGAGATACATTGTTATATCAAATGGAYATGGTCTACCAGCATCCCTTTCGAGCTTTTGCTCAAGCATGATTGAAAATAAAAATCGTAATATAAGCAAACAAAAATTACCCCTTGCTATCCCYTTTAGTACAGTCAKTTATACTATTCAAATGGAGATWCTGTAAGATTCTACCTTTAAAGGAYTGAAACGGATTACGAWTGGGTATTCGAAAGCACCTCATTTTCTATCTATGGGAATATTAAACGACGACTGCTTTGAATRCTGGTGGACCACTGTCCTTTTAATTACTCATAAGAWGAYTGCTGCTAACCGCTAGTCTAGGTTGRTCTTCAACCTAYTTCCCGTRGGGATCTATTCATGTGATTTAAGTTTGCCGGCAGTTACGTTGGTTCTACTCAMTCAGTGTGCTTGTATGCTAAAACAATCAATGTAGGGTTTGAGAGTACAATTTTTGTCGATTTCCGTGTGGTATAGGTTACWTTGTGACTTTACTATTCAAACAATAACATCAACATCAACAACAACAACGACGAAAAAAATAGCAAAAAATTACTACAGTAAGAATAGCAACGAAATGTATATTTTGTTCTCTGAATATCACAAATGGTCAATGAACTATATCATTTAAATTGCTAAATAACGACACTTGGTATATGACATACATCTCTTTACACCATCTATAATTATTTGGCTTATTTCTTCACTTCATATGAGCGGTTTAGCACGTGAGCGAATTATAAAAAAATGCTAACTAGGAGTCGAATTGAATTGAATGATCTTGGCCGGTGTCTCCAAAAAGACGTGACATAAAATAAACACCGTAAAACGAAATGAGATGATTTTCTGACGTTTCGGACAGTAATGATTGTTCGTCGGAAAATAAGTGCATTTTCTTCTTGTTATACTCTTTGTAATCAATTCATGTAAAGCGCCACAAATTTTCCTTAATGGTTAATTAACCTTGTAGTGAGAGATTTTTTTTTGTAAGTTTCCACTTTAAATCTTAGTGAAAAACTTTCTGTCTTTTCTAGWTCCCCTAAAGCGTGAGCTGAATTTGCGCATGCCCACTCAAGCTCCAGGTATTTATGTGTTAAATCTTGCTGTACTCTAGTCTTATGAGCATCCTTAAAGGATCGAATTGTTCCTCCACTTAGGTATTTCAACCATCACAACACAACCGAGGAT